GTTGACAATGCGGGAAACCAGTTTTTTATTTTACTGGGAGTGTGAACATTGAGTGAGCACTGGGGCATACAGTGAGACTAACACAGTGAGGTTACTGAGATGGATAGTTTTAGTAAATATGTTGAGAAATATCTGAATTTTTGCGACATAAAATTGTATCCAGCTGTGAATCAGCTACATGACCTTGCCCCCGTGAAATTGTGGGAAAGAGGTTTAGTGGATAGTGTATTGACCATAGAGTGTTTTAATACACTATTATCATCCACAAGGAGTGTTCTTTTAAAGCAGAGAAGACTTCACCAAACTTTTTCAGATCTGTATGTCGCTCAAGCCATTTCTCTTTGACACTTTCTTTAGTCATAGAGGTGGGAAGACGCCTCCCCCCTCCCCCTTCCCTCTGCCGGCCTCACCTGTTGCCATTTTTATCCATTCTGTGTCCGAATCACAGCGGGTTCCAGGCTCTGTCATTTGTTCACAATGTTATTGACATCTGAAACAGTGTCTCATAATTAGGTATTTTAAAACACGAAGCTTTCGAAACCCGAAGAAAAAAATTACTCTGAAAAAGAGACAAGAAGCTTTAAATTATTATTAAATTAATACTATTAATAATGACCAGACACATTATTATAGTTTCAGTGGTATTTTTAATACCGCTTTATTATTCTCAATTTTAATTACAATATATACAATTTCTTTTTAAGGCTTGAGGAGTCTGTTAATATTGCCCCGCTGAATAAAGTGTTTTGAATTAAACTGGTTGAACAGTTGACTGTATTCACATTTGCTAATTCACGTATTTATTTCATTATTAATATAACTTAACATTGAATATGTTATAATATATATAAAAAAATGTTAATATAGTGTACATAATACTTCATCATGCGTGAATGAGTCAAATATAAATTAAAAGTGTTTACAAAGAAAGTGGATTACAGTAATACCACCAGCTATATAATTACATATATTTAGATCTTTAAATTAATACCGTTCTTAATTTTTTTAGATAAGCGATTCCATATTATATTTCCTATTTAGCGGATTCTAAAGCATGAGGTTTTTTACTGCGACAAAGACCGCAAGTATTCATAGAAAAAGTTAATCACTTAACTCGCTTAACTTTGAATGTGTTGTGATATGTAAAAATGCCAACAAATTCAATATAGTGTCGATAATATTTACTATTTTAGTTTTTCAAAGAAATGTTTATTTGTTAAAAGAAAACTCATGACCAGAGCTGGGTTCGAACTCCCAACTTCCAGCATGCCAAACCCACCAACGTGCCGCTTGACAACTTAAGCTATAACTGAACAGGGCAGGCAAAAAGTTTCCAAGTAAACTCGGGTGAAAGACTCAAATTGATGCATATGTTTACAAAGAAAGTGTACTACTGTGATATTTTGAGCTATATGAATATAATTATATCGTTATTCATTTCTTTAGATAAGCAATTCCATATTATAGTTCCTATTAATCAAATTCTAAAAAGTATGCATTTTGTACTGCGATAACAATCGCAAGTATTCATAGAAAAGGTTAAAACATTATAACTTTTTATATAGTATATAAACTTAAATATAGTCAGAAGGAGTACGTAAAAAAAATTCCAAAATAACCACAGTATGTATGAATGAAAGACATTAATGCTTAAAATGTTTATGAAGAAAGTGGAATACTGGTGTGTATTTTTTATTTAAACTACCAATACCAGCCATATACAGTTAACATATTATGTTTATGTTGCTAAATTAATATTGTTTATGAACTTCAGACACATTATGCTCCTCTTCTTTTTATGCTCAGCTACTAAAATTTCCCTTTATTTGTAAAATTCCATATTAATATTTAATATTAAGTGCATTTAAACATGCACAGTTAAGAGATTAAACGAAGCAACCAATACACGCTGTGTGCCGCCTGTCGGTTATGTTGGCCAGCCAATCACGTACATAATTTTGCATGGTATGGGGTTTTACTGTGCATTTTGAATGCCTGCATCTGTATATGTCTTACATTGAGCCTGCTACATAATTTATTAATCATCAAAAGAAACTACAAGAACTTTATGTATTATCACAAAAAGACAAAAACATTATTTTGCTGCTGATGTACTGACACTGTATTGAACAGATATACAGGTAAATTCATTATGCTGATGAACATTAGTTATCTACAAAATTGGTCATCAGGGGATCTACTGTAAAAGTCAAAGCCTAGTGGTATGTCATACCACCGCTGGAGCCATTATATGATGTACACCTGTAACACATGCTTTGCACCAGGTAGCACCTCTAATCTCATCTAGAGACTGGACAAGAATATGCCTCTTCACTAGAGTGACTTATAGATTTTATACATTGTGCCAGTTTATCCCGCCAATGAAATATCTGTCACATTCTCATCTCTCAAAAATGCAATCAAAAAGCTAGCTTGTGAAGCCTTAGGCAGGAATCCTGCAATATTGTCTCATCAGGATAAAGGACAAGAAGGGCAGTAAGTTAGGTCAGAGGATTTTGTTATTGTGACCTTAGGTCACTGTCAATCAGTGGAGGTCTACAATAACTAGACACCCCTGCCCACTGTATTACACTCAGACCTCCCCATCAATCATGGTGAAGTTTTTTGATTCATGGCCAACCAGATCATGTCTTGACATTGATGGGTTGTGCTTGGTTATAATTTAGCTATAATGTCTATTACCTAATTACTAGGGTACAACATTTCACCTGCATCGTAATCTTCATTAGTTCAGTGTCTATATGATATTAATATTCTCCTGATTAGCAGGGCATATTATTTCTTTATTTTCAATAGTCTTTTATATTCAGTCTTTGATATATTAAAACATCTGTTATGTTTGCACAATCAACTCTCGCACTAATGAGGTGCTTTATGACTTCTGGAAAGCTTTGCAGATCTCTTTATTTCATTTGCTACATTGCTCTTCCAAAGAGCACAAGTGTATCATGGTCAGTCGTGAATGATAAATTAATAAAAATGAGGTAAAAAAATTAAAACAATATGCAAATCCGTATACTTTTACTAAAAAGTGATTTTTTTTTATGATCGCTATATTTTAGCCAACGGCCTGTGTGGCTAAGTGGCTTCGGTATAGGAAATATCAAACTGACCCATAATGCTGGTGGACTACTTTGTCAAGGTGTGACAAGGTGTCAAGGTGCCCAGTTAAGAATAACACATTGTGCCAATCACAGTGATTTTTGGCAAAGTGTCAAAAACACTATCAATGTTAAAAGAATTATCATTTGTTTGGTGATAATTTAGCTACACCATGTCAAACATATACATCAGGGAAAATGTGACTTTGTACTTTCTTGACTGATGTATTGAAATAAAATGCGATACAAAATGTTTAACTTTTCCCACGTATGGCATCTTACTGTCTAGAAACCCCCAGCATGAAAATAAAATTGATAATTTTGTGATTATTTTCATGTGGTAGTATGGTACCTTGAAGGAAACCACCTTTCTTTCAAACCCAAATATTAAACAATTAAGAATGTATTTTTACTACATGGTACTGATGAGGCTAATTATGTACTTAATTAGGAATTTCAGCTTTATATCTTTTGTTTAGTCTTTTACCTATACTACACATGTACAGTAGGTTGGTTACAGTGTATATGTCTTCTGTATAGGGTATGGTTTTATTTCTTCTTTCTATGTTGGCTCAGGTCTGGGAAAGTCAAATATTTCTAGATTTATTTAACAAGATCTTTAATCTGTGATAAGCTTCATTTATTTCAAATAAGTTATTTAACTACACTGTTTAAAAGACAATGAACGCTTGTGTATTTGGTTGCTTTTGGCCTACAGTATGCCTAGCAATGTTTTAAAAATATTATGCTGCTTTGGAAGGTTTATTTTGTTTCATTTTATTTTTGTATTGTGGCCCATTTAAATGGGAAGCACAGAACAATCCAGATATATTAATAACCCTGATGGAATAAGAACAAAAATGCTCAATAGCTGCAAGAAATAATGTTTTGGATGGCATGGATGGAATGTTATTTTATTCCAAATCCCAACTTGTGGAGATGAGTGACCAATGGCTTGCAGTCTTCAGAGAACCTTTACCATGATGATACATACCACTACAGAATGCCTACTGAGTGCTACTTTATTTTAGACTGCAGGATAACTTTAGAGATCTCTTTATTCCATTTGCTTCCATTGCTTTTACAAACAGTATAATATTATTGTAGATTTTTGTTGTTTTTTTAAAAAATAATACCTAGGGGTGTCCATAAATATAATCCTAGTGGTTTCTAGAATTATGGAAAATAACACTCTGCTTTGTGCTTTTACAATTACAGCATAACATATTCAGGATTGTTTATAATCAGGACATTTTATCCAATCTCTAATTCATTTAGTTATATTTTTTATTCCAATTTCATCAGGTGTATGAATAAATATGGAGGGCACTATACCTTAATAGCTAGATTATTTTGCTAATTGATATTCCTCATAAAAGGTAAGCAAAGACTTGTGATGTATCCTTTTGTCTGCAATTAAATATTAACTTAATAGTTTTTGGCTTTTGGATGCAGACCTTTCAATTTTTGACTGGCACGTACGCCAATTAAAACACGGGAGATAAAAAAAAAGGAGATAACTTTGTACCTCGGGAGCATTTCAGTTAAGAGCTGGTAGAATTTTAAATTTATGCTGAAACATGATTTAACCTTTCATATCAGCCTCTCAGTATGGAGACAGAAACCTCACATCACGTCACTTCAATAACAGCAATACATTTGTTAGTACTATGCCATCAGCTAACCTTGATGAAAATTTGTGAATGCTATTATGGTCATGATCATATATACTGTACTGTATATAGAATGACTGTTTAGATCTCAAAGACTGAAAGGTGTGAATATGTAATATATCGGTGACTACAATGAGATCCCAGAATTTCTAGTGTTTATTCAATAAATTGTTTTACAACAAACGTATTGTTTGTTTTCCTGCAGGTGAAGTCGGTCATAAATCTTCTGTTTGCCGCATATACAGGGGACGTGTCTGCTCTCAGGAGGTATGTTAGTATCTCTAGGTGCCATATACTATGATTTGAGTTTTTTCCTTCCACTGTTCTGAAATACTGAACATAAATTAGTAACAATATATACTTCACAATATTCTCAGTAACAAAGTTCAGCAAGCTTTTTAAAAAACATAAGTACTTCAGTTCTGTAAATTTCTGTATTTTGGATAAAAAGGATGAATAATGCAGGTAGTAGCAATTATGCTTCTTTAATGATGGACATTTTTTTTCCACAAATATTTAATGTGTCATCAGAGCTTACCAGTAAAATTTTAAATTAAAGGTTTAAAAGCGTTATTTTCAATCTGTATTATATGGGATTTTCAAAGCTTTCAATTCATAGCAAGTTTAGGTTTTACTCAAACACATTGTCTTTGTGCTTGACAATATAATTTTAGATAGTTAAAACAACAGGAGATAAGAATGTAATCCTACAAATATTTTCACTAACAGGATGTCAGTGAAAAACCTAAATCTAATGAAAATCAGACGCATTATCAGCCAGCTTTGATTATGTTTGCGCTAAACAGTAAATATGAAGTGTACAGTGACTTAAAACAATGTTACAGTGTTATTTTTCCTTAGTAGAATTAACTGTTTACACCTCTTTCTCTTAATTTGTTCTTAGAGGACTCCTCACACTTCTCAGGTTATGTGAGGGTTCAATTCCTCAAGTTTTTTTGTAACCCTAATCTTACATAAATCAGAAGTGACCCTTTCTTAGCCAGTTGGTGAACACACACACACACATATATATATATACTGTATATATAATCATCCATGGTATTACAGCAGTCCTCCCTCATTTGCCCTAGCTGTGTGTGAGTGAAGAAGGAGGAACAGAACAGTAGAATTGCAGGCTCACCAACATTTATTGACCTTTAATGGCTAATAAGTGTATGTACTAATAATCAAGGCCAGGGGTAGAGTACAAAATGTAACAGCAGTTAATGGTACATGAGGTTAAGAAAGAAAGGGAAGTTTCACCCTTTATACAGTGGGAGGAAATGAAATAAAGATGATTGAAAATGTTTTGTTACCTTCACAGTTAGAATAATTAAACAACAAATATAGCATACAATTAAAAATATACAGTACATTAAATTAGAATGATATTTTAAATTAAAAAAAAATTCACTGCCCTCCACACAAAATAAAAATAATAAAAGTACCTGGGTGCTTCCCTCACATAATTACAATATGGATTTCTTGCAATGTTCAATGAAAAAATTAGATATAATACGTAGAAATTACCAAATGTGTGCAAAAGCAGTGCGAGACACAATGTAAAACAGAGCAGTGGTAGAGACCACATTACACTTACTCCATACTACTGACCTGCAGTAGGAACTTGTTGTGCCACTTGCTATTTATGCATGTAATGTAATTTCTACTTACCTTTTATGATGTCGCCCATGAGAGATTTTTACACAGCTGAATTTGCGCAAGTTGAATTTAGCTAAATCTGGGGAGCAGGCGTACTAAGGAAATAAAAAATGTGACACATTTATCCATAGCCACAAGCTTGTTTTTAAGCACATACATATTGGCAGTCATTACTAAATAATGGGTAAGTCATAACTAAAATGATCATTTTTAATTGGAAATCTATCAATTTTGTAGGTTTGCTTTGTCTTCTATGGACATGGAACAGAGGGATTATGATTCCCGGACTGCTCTACATGTAGCAGCAGCAGAAGGTAAGAGACCTGTTTCAGTTCAGAATGACCAGGTACAGATGCAGCCATTCAAAATGCATGGTACAACCCCGAACCGCGTAAAATTGTCTACAGTTCCCTGCATTGTACCACAGTACGTGATTGGCTGGCTAAAATGACTTACAGGCAGGTGCATTGGTTGTTAGTGAAACGATTTCTTCAGTTAATCTCTTTACTGTGCATATTTTAGAAAAGGTTAATCACTTAACTCACTTAACTTTGAACGTGTTGTAATACTTAGAAATACCAACAAATTCAATATAGTAATAATATTATAATTATTATTATTATAATAGTAAAAAATATTTACTATTTTAGTTGTGCAAAAAACGTTTTATTTGTTAAAAGCAAGAGCTGGGTTTGAACCCCTGACCTCTAGCAGGCAAGTCAGATGCCTAAGCCATTACATCAACGCGTTGCTTGACAACTTAAGCTGTAGCTGAAAAGCACAGGCAAAAAGTTTCCAAGTAATCATGAGTGAATGAGTCAAATTGATGTAGATTTTTACAAAGAAAGTGTACTTTGAGCTATATGAATATAATTAAATCGTTATTTATTTCTTTAGATATGCGATTCCATATTATATTCCTTATTAATCAAATTCTAAAAAGTATTTGTGTCCTTTACTGCGATAACAAGCGCAGGGATTCATAGAAAAGGTTAATCACTTAACTCACTTAACTTTGAACGTGTTGTGATATTTAGAAAAAACAATAAATTCAATAAAGTGTCAATAATATTTACTATTTTAATTTTTCAAAGAATTGTTTGTTAAAAGAAAACTCATGGTGACAGCTGGGTTCGAACCCCCAACCTCCAGCATGCAAGGCACACACCTAACCCCTTACTCCAACGCGCTGCTTAAAAACTTAAGCTGTAGCTGAATAGGGCAGGCATGTTTTCACGTAATCATGGCTGAATGAACTGATGCAAATGTTTACAAAGAAAGTGGACCACGGTAATACTTTGAGCTTACAGCCTGTCCAAGCTCATTCATTATTAATACTATTAATAAGATCTTCCGTATTGCATCAAAATTCGAACATTTTAACAAGTGTATGAGGCGATACACAATACACAACGTGTCTGCTCTATAACTCTTCAGTGTACAGAATAATTTCCGCAGTTACAAACCTCATCTCAACATAGTAAACAACAGTCACTGGCTTACTTAAACGTGTAAAACATCTTCACTGTCATGGTACAGTTTCAGCATACTGTACAGTATGTTCTCCATTACCACTATAAGAACAATACAAGCTTTTAAAAACAAAACGAATGTCAAAATGTTTCTAAAATGTCCAAAATACGTTTCCAAAATATTTTAGCATTTTTAAAATTTGATTAATAGGGAATATAATATGGAATCGCATATCTAAATAAATCAATAATTATATTAATTTAAGGACCTAAATATATGTTTTTATATAGCTGGTAGTATTACTGTAATCTACTTTCTTTGTAAACATGTTTTATTTTTATCCAGCTCAGCTCCACGTCATAACAGTTTATTGTTACATCTATTCAGTAATAGAAAAGACAGCTTGTTTTAGGGGACCCAAACACTATGTAAGTTCAGTTAAAAATAATTTGAGGATAATGTTGTTCTGTTTATTACACAGTGTTTAGATTTGTTCAATATAAACAGAATTCCAACACAAGTAACTGAAGATTTGTGCTACTTGGGAGTATTTTACTCTTCAAAATTAAAGAAGTCCATACAGTATGTAATATGTATTTAAATGCTGTATCTCTATTCAGGTCATGCTGATGTTGTTCGCTTTTTACTGGAAGCTTGCAAGGTCAACCCCGTACCAAAAGATAGGTAAGTAGAGTTCTTAAAGTATGTCTATCTGTTAGTTGCAAAATTCCTTCATGCTGGCAGTAACTATTATAACTATTATATATAGATATACTGAGCATTAAAAAATCTTATTCTACTGTTTCTGTTTTTGGAATAATAAAGAACAGGTCAGCAAAATAGGAGGGTGCCATTTGGTTTGTCTTGGTAATTTGATAGGTCAGTAGCTAAGAAAATCATTTCATTCAGCTATTTTCTACAGGAGTGGACCTGGGAGCCATCTGGGAGGAATTAGAGCAAGCTACATTGCTTGCCCCTATCTGGGATTGAACCCAGGACCTTCCACTCAGGAGCTAGATGCCCTTGCTGTCTGAGCTACCACGGCTCCTAAATAAATAGTGAGAAGATGAGGAAGAGGAGCATTTATCAATGCTTCTCTGGTTTTGTTTAATCTAAAGCATTGATGTTTGAATGATTGTCGTTTGTCAATTATTTCACAAATTTCTTGAGAGCACTGCCTTTGCACCATCAGAGCCACACCTGAGCTTGATATCTTGAAAGAAAATCTTGTCCTCCTTAGCGATGAATCAATGTTTTATGCAGACTACCTTGATGAACGTCAGTGAGTGTGGTGCAGAACACTATGCTAATTGTTCTGTTAAACAGAGCAATCAATGGGAAGTTCTAAGTGTGATGGACTGGGTAAGAGTTTCTAGTTGCTACAGAACTTCACTGATAATAACAGATTTTGTGTAAAATGAGAATGTGACAGTTATGCTTTCTGAGCCCCACTGAACATTTATGGGAGCTGGAATAATACTCTAAACTCAGAGACTAGTGAAAAGGCACATGCATGTCCAGGCTCTATGAGAAGAATGAGACACAGTCCCATTCTGTTAAAAAAAGATTATCTTCCTGATGAGTTTCTTGCAGTTGAAAGTGTTGTTTTGATGCTCAGTATATTTTCAGTATTTTAGTTATATTTTTGTTTATTGAATATATATGTGTTATACTCTTGGTTAAAAGTATTATGCTGCCTTATCAGATTTATAAGATTTGCCTTATGCTGCTTTATAAGATTTTTCTACAGATTCAGCCATTCAAAATGACCGGTACAAACCCATACCGCACGCAATTACCCAAAGGTCAGTGCATTGTACCGCGGTATGGGATTGGCTGGTCAAAATGACCGACAGGGGCACTTGTGGTGCATTGGTCGGTAGTGAAAAGATTTAATCATTTAATCTCTTTACTGTGCATGTTTAAATCCGCTTAGTATGGAATATTTATATGGAATTTACAACTAAAGGGAAATTTTAGTAGTTGAGCATAAAAAGAAGAGGAGCATAACTCATCTGATGGTCATAGACAATATTAATTTAGGAACATAAACATATTATGTAAACTGTATATGGCTGGTATTGGTAGTTTAAACAAAAAATACACACCAGTATTCCACTTTCTTCCTAAACATTTTAAGCATCAAAGTCTTACATGTGGTTATTTTGGAAACAATTTTATTGTTATATACTTCGTAAAAAGTGATAATGTTTTATAAAGTTATAACCCTTTCTGCGAATACGCTCATTATTGCAGTAAACAAAAGAATACTTTTAGAATTTGATTAATAGGGAATATAATATGGAATCACACATCTTAAGAAATGAATAACGATATAATTATATTCATGTACTGTAGCTCAAAATATCACAGTATTACACTTTCTTTGGATATGTGTGCTTCAGTTTCACTCCTTTCCATGTGATTACGCCTGTGGCGTGATGGCTTAGGAGTGTGCCTTATATGCCTGAGGTCGGAGGATCGAGCCCAACTGTCGCCATCCCTTCCTTGTGAATAGCAGGGACCTCAGCCGCCAGGCTGTGGGAAGATCTCCCTTTAGCTCAGCTGGCTGGTTCCCTGTTGTGTGAAGCTGGAGGCCCGGGTTTGAGTCCCCAGTGATCCAGGGCCGGCCTGAGGTCGCAGCAGTGAGGTCGCATACCCATGTGAACCTGAAAGCACTATAATATTATCAACACTGACATTTGTTGGTATTTCTTAATATCACAAAACGTTCAAAGTTCACATCCTTGTGAAATAATCATGACATTCTCATCCAATCTAAGGTTTGATGTATTTTTTATTATGAAACCGTGATCTTGACAAACTTGTTCTACCTGAAACAGATAAAGAAACCATGCAGTAGTTACAGTTAAGGGGACAAGTAATAGGTTTATTCCATGCTGAAAAGAGAAGAGATAAAACCCAACGTTTTGGCTGTTTTCACCAGAGACAGCTTTCGAAAACTCCAGCTGAATCCCCAGATTTAAATCCAATAGAGATGGTATGGCATTCCCAACTCAGAACAAGTTTTGTATTGTGATATTGAACACAATAAATGTGGGTAATGTCATCCCCATTAAACAATGTGCTTATCGCGCAAATCCTTCTAAACTAAAAATTAGACACAAAAAGAGTATTATTGGACAATGTTCTGAGGCTCTGGCAGAATTTATCCGTAAACTGAAGAGTTATAGGGGAGACACATTGTGTATCACCTCTTTTTACACTTGTAAAAACAAACATTCCAATATTAATGCCACACGGAAGAGATTAATAATGTAGCGCTTTCAGGCTCACATGGGTATGCAGCTGAAATAATTAGACTGCTCATAAATCGAATCACTTATTCTACATAAACACATCGTAATTGCTCTCTGAAAATGCTCTTTTTTCTGTTCATTTAAAGTAATACTGGGTTGTGGTGGACGGCGCGATATTTAATCAGCAACCTGCTTAACACCTGTAGAAAACATGATTTTATTTCTGTACAGAATGCCTGTACCGTTTATAAAATTAAAGTGTTTCAAATGTTTAATTAAGAAGTGAAAAGAACTTACAGCTTACTCAAAGACTCAAACTACAGTATGGAAGAATGAATGTTAAGAAAAAACAGGACATTTGATTGCTGGTTACCTTATATTTACTTTTAAAAAATGCTTTGATTTATTCACAACCCGACAATGCAAGACGGAACAAAAGCAGCTTTAAAAATCACGTCCCCCACTGCGCTCAAAAATCTTAGGAAGAACACGAAACAGCCAGTCTGCTGATAAAAAATAACGCCAGACAAAGTGAAGGCTGTGAAAACATTTTTCAGTCTGTCCGTGGGGGGAAGGGGGACTGTCTTTCATTGGAAGGTTCACCTATTCTACTCTGAGAATGTAGGGGGGTAGGAAAAGTGCCCGCTGTCATTTTTTTCACTGAAAAAGTTGTGTTCACAAAAACTACAGTATGCTTAAGAGCTGTTCAACCGGTTTAATTCAAAACACTTTATTCAGTGGGGCAATTTAACAGACGCCTCAAGCCTTAAAATGAAATCGTATGTATTGTAATTAGAATAGCAAATAACAAAGCGGTATTAAAAATACCACTGAATAATGTGTCTGGTCATTATTAAGTCTTTTTTTCTATGGTTTTCAACTGTGGTAAAGTTAGCTTGAATTTCGAAAACGACTTTGGTACGCCTGTAGCTTTTTCACTAGACCTCCTAGAGTTACGAGACCACTTGCTTTATGTTTAGGTAGATTGCCAGGCGAAAGGATTTGTGTTCTCTCTCTTGCTCTCTCTGTCGCTCGCTTGTTCTCTCTCAATTCAATTGAATTCAATTCAAGGTGCTTTATTAACATGACCGATGGGTACAATCAGTGTTGCCAAAGCAAATAAAAATAATAAAATTAAAATGAAACAAAAAAAATAAAATAAAATCTACAGACATTTACAACAAAGACATATCATAAAATATTTACATATACTGTAAACTTATTGAGCATTATTGGGAGACAGATTCACAGGGGGAATGGGGGACATTCGGGAATGTGATGTCATAGATGCTTTTGTTCTGTCTTGCATTGTCAGATTGTGAATAAATAAAAGCATTTAATTAAACACGCGTTTGCAATTTTAATCAAAATGGGGTTAATGGGGACTCTCTATTATATAATAAACACCCCAAAATAAATTTTCACGAAACCTCCTCGAGTTACAAAAACAGTTGCTTTGTGTACAAAGTACATTGTGAATGTTTTCACAGCCTTCACTTTGTCGTTTTTACACCATTTTTTTACCACTCACAGATATTCTTATGTCCATATCTTTGTGCAAGGGAAACACATAAAGCTTTCAAACCAAATACATTTTAAAGACCTCAACTTGTGAAAATGTTCACAGCCTCTACATAAAACATAAAATCAGTGAGATAAATCTCTTTTTGTAAACCTCAGATTTTTCATCGATGCGTAATTACGCACTAACTGGAACACTGGGGGACCGCTGTGTACACACGTTTACAACACAAGAATACTGCTCAATACGGCTTCGTGCGAAAAACCCGAAAATTACCATAGGAAGCAGAACAGTGCAGTCTCCAATTACCCAGACTATAAGACACGGGAATAAAGCTTTGTTTGATTTCTGAAACCCTTTTCTTTATTTCCTGTTTTTATTCAACAGGAGAATTCCTATTCTTAACAGCTTTTTAAAAACAGCACCCATGATGTTCAAATCATGATGTCCATGAATTTTTTATACAGAACACAGCTATATTTGGTTATTGTGTATTGTCTGTTTAGGGTTCTGTAGCATTCCAGTTTGTTGTGTTTGTACTTGCAAGAATAGCGATTATAAACATTAAAAAAAACATACTTGCTTTATAATGTTTATGCTGACCAACTGAGCAATCTTGCTTTTATAAAATATACTTTTCAAGTTTAATGTGTAAGATGCTGTAATACAGTTTAAAATGATTATAAGTCTAAACAGTATACAACTTGAATTCTTATCTCTATTAATATAACTATCAAGTGGTATTAAATAAATTCAAGTTTTTAGTGTAGATGACACTTTTCTAAAATTTATTTCAAAAATAAAAACAGTTACAATCTAATCTTTCCACGGGTGATCCCATGAGGAAGTACAATACGCTCCTGCTTTGTTTAACGATAGTATGAGAAATACATCTAAATGGTGAGACAGCTATGCTTAAAGTTAATTAAAGGACTTAGAAGACAAAGATAATTATTTACATTACATTGTTATATTGTGAATTAATAAAGGTATTTAATTATTAATTACTGGGGTGTAGCGGTGGCATTGTAACTGAGGATCTGCGCCTGTGGCTGGAAGGTTGCCGGTTCAAATCCCACAGGTGGCAGAGGAATCTGACTCCATTGGGCCCCTGAGCAAGGCCCTTAACCCTGACTGCTCCAGGGGTGCTGTACAATACTTAACCCTGCGCTCTGACCCCAAGCTTCTCTCCCTGCCTGTGTGTCTCATGGAGAGCAAGCTGGGGTATGCAAAAAGACAAATTCCAAATTCAAGAAATTGTACATGGCTAATAAAGTGATCTTAATCTTATCTTAAATTAAACAGGCGTTTGCGATTTTAATCAAGATGGGGGTAATTGGGACTCTCTATTATTTCTCTATTATTATCAAAACTTGTTCAATTGTGGGGGTTTTTTAAACATTTTGACGTTCCTTGTAACTACACTGCTGTTGATATTGTAGCAATAGCCGAAATGAAACGCTTGGAGTTTGTAATGTAGGGATTTCTATATTTATGTCTTTATCTTGTGGTTTCATTAGTGATTAAGGCTAAACTTTCAGCTTCAGTAATGCGTATGCCATATGGCCAACATTACAGGTATTGTGCGGGCTGGCTTGCCAGTGCGGTGATGTCACTGCCTTCCAGGTCCTATGAATACCAAAATAACCACATGTAAGACTTTGATGCTTAAAATGTTTAGGAAGAAAGTGGAATACTGGTGTGTATTCTTTCTTTATAGTTACCAATACCAGCCATATATAGTTTACATAATATGTTTATGTTCCTAAATTAATATCATTTATGAGCATGTGAAAGGCATGGTGAATCGGAGATTCTCAAAACTTACTTTGTATGATTGAAAACGAATACGTGATCGGATCAACGAAATGCTGTGATGTTAATTTTTGTCAATTAAAAAAATATTTTCGTTTACAAAGTGGACCACGGTAATACTTCGAGCTTACAGCCTGTCCAAGGTCATTCATTATTTATACTATTAGTAATATCTTCCGTTAAGACTTTGATGCATAAAATATTTCTGCATTATTAAATATTTATGATAAAGGTGGTAGGTTGTGTACTTTTGTCCAATTGAGCAATCTTGCTTTTATAAAATATATTGACTTTTTAATGTTTAATGCTTAACATGCTGTAATACACAGTTTAAAATTATTAAAAATCTAAAGAGTATACAACTTAAATCGAAACCGGGCATTTTCTGGCAACAGATCAAATACTGTACCTGAGATGTTAACCTTTATTAAGGTGCTTCTGGATACTATTATCATATTTAAATTAACATGTGGTGTTATGCGGTATGATGCGGTAATGATTAACATGCTGTAATACAGTTTAAAATGATTAAAAGTCTAAAAAGTATACAACTTTAATTCTTAATTGGAAAAAGACTGTCCGTCTACAGTGACCGGGATTTGAAACTGGGCGTTTTCTGACGACAGCTCAAATGCTGTACGAGAGGTTAAGCTTTAATTAGCTCCAATTGGTGGTGATTCCGGATACTATTATCATAACTGCGGTATGATACGGTATGACGTGTTGTGATGTGACACCGCGTTTTACCGCAGCGTACCTTGCCCGTCTTGAATGGCTGCATCTGTACGTTTGTTATTGCAAACTTTTCACGTCAAGATCTCTAGCAATCCCATTGGCACATTATGTATTTGTCTCATTCTGTCTCACAAAGGGCAGAAAAGGGCGGTCCCATCTTTTTGTCTAATCTGCCCAAAATATTACACATATCTGTACTCTATTATTGTATTTCACAGTCTCATTCATTATCTTTGTATTTAATGAGGTTAATAATAAGATCATATAAGAATATTTTTTATCAAACTCTGTTTATTAAACCATAATGGATAGAGCACTGTCATCTTTTAATAAAAAATAATCAAATTATCAAACTTTATTTGGTAACGTCATTATAAGGGATGTTTTTTTCCCTTTAGAAGAGCTCATCATTTTAATGGATAAACAGATTTTGACCAGGATATACAAAGACCTCATCTCATATACTGTATGAGTAAATATCTGATGTAATTTATTTTTGTGTGTTTTGCCTATTTTGTATTTTGCCTTTTGATGTTTTTGAAGGTTCAATATTCATTTCAAATGGAAAAATAGAGTGCAGTATCACTATCATTATTTTTAAGGGTATATTTAAAAATAATATTTTAAAACGGTAATGTCTGTGATATTTAGGTGGGGTAACACACCAATGGATGAAGCTGTACACTTCGGACATCATGATGTTGTGACAATCCTTCAAGACTATCACACCAAGTACTGTCCGCAGGATAATCCTAACAATGGAAAAGATACAGCAGAAAAAAATCTGGATGGATTACTGTAACTATGCAATCAAATGTTTAATTTTCAAACCAGATTTTTTGGAGAGATGCTGTTGGATAATATTTCTGAGTGTATGAGTGTTTTATTTTTTAGATTAATATTTTGTGTTACATACACGGTTTTGCTTTGCTTAATTTGTGGTTGCTCACGTTGCAATAGTTGTGTTCTCCCGTCGAAACTTCCCTGGGCACTGTGTGGAGTAGCTGTATGTGAGTAGCTGTCATTCATTATATAAAGTATAATAATGTATTTATGGAAATTGTATATTAATTTATGTTGTAATTATTTCATTTCCTAATTAGCTGGTATGACAGAAATGGTCATTGGTGTAAATAGTGTTTTAACCATAATATTACAATTGCACTGTTGTAGTCATTTATAACCTGTGGATAACACCTTTTCCCAGACTGATGATGCTGAAGGCTGTTTTAAAAACATTAGATGTTTGGCACACTAGCTACAAAGAATATGTTGCTGTGGGGCCATGAAGCTTGTGAAAAGCCCAAACAGTAGCAAGGTGTTTTGGCACTATTAACACAATAAGGATACATAGCTTAAGAGATGTACACAATATTTAATAGCCTAAGCCTTGCACATTTTATGGTTCCGATTTAAAATATAATTAAAGTGAGATTTTGTTTGTTTTTTATGTGTGACAAAAAATACATGTAAAACTGAAAGCTACAGTGCATTTGTGTGTGAGTGCATGTGTATGGTTTTAAAAGCTAAAGAACTGCAGAGTCCTCAAACAACATGAAAAAACTTTCAATTAATACTAAACAGTATTTTGTAATTCTGTAAATTAAAACAAAAATGGCAAAAACATAATCTAGACCTGATTTAGGATTCACAACTATTACCATTTTAATGGAGCAATTTAAGTTTTAAATACAGTACATTAGTTGAACTACTCTACTACTGGAACAGAGGAAAATATGTACATTTTGTAAACCTGTCCAGTATAGCTAAAATTTTTTGTTTGATGCTGGCAAATTACGATGGGCAATATTTGTTTAAAATAATCCCACAATATCATTTCAGGAATGGAGTTACAGGGTTAATATTATCACAAGGTTTTTCCAGTTTATAAACACTTAAGATTTGGTATTTTCTTTATTCGTGTTCATACTTTCCTGTAGCTTTTCCAAAGCAATTTATTTATATGCGTTTCTGAAGCTGGAGTTTCTAGTTGAAACGTTGTTCTGAATGTTTTCATATTCTTTTTGAACATATTTCAATTTAAATAGTGATATAAACTGTATCTATAATCCTGCTGGCAAAGTAAGATGTTTATTTTGGTGATCAATGTTAAATAAAGTACTGCTGCAAGGCAAACTTTAAACACGTTTTCCTTTATTTGAATCAAACATTTTCACTTTCATATATTCATAACACATAAGAACTTGTGATGCAAAGTACACAACAGTTATTTGAACCTAAAATTTTTCATTCAGCTAGGAATTAAAGACTAAAACTTAGCAATTTTTCCATGTAATATTTTTATACTCTGAATATGCAGAGTATAAAAGAGGTTCTCCAACTGCATCACATTACAATGTTTAGAAAGTAACAAGGTTCAACTTTTTAAAAAAAGTTTTATACACAACAAAAGTATCTGGTTTTCTTGTACTTGCATTCATAACTTTTAAAGAAGAGAATTAAAGTATTATCATAATCCTTTGTAAAACCACTGTGAACAAAACTTTAAATCTGATCTCTTAAAATGCTCCAATGAAACTGGCAAGCTGTTGAAGAACTAGGTCAAGAATTAATGAAGTCCAATGTGATCTTGATTAGTTTGGATATGCAGAACACATCTGTTGAAAAATAAAAGTTTTTACAGGTATTCAGACTCTTCAAATGCAATAACTGTAAGCTCAATTGACTTCTTCACAATTTGCAGTGAAGCATAAACCAGAACAGAAAACATCCTTAAACAAAGGGTTTTGACCTTCTAACAAGCTACCCAGTCATGTTACGGGAGCATCTTTAAGAAACAACTGGATGAAATCCTTGGATCAGTTGGCTACCAGCATTAATTTTAATGTGATAACATACATTTCCCAACAGAGGCAGTGTACCCCATCTTATTGCATGCTTTTTCAACAAAAAGCTTCTCAATTGTCTTTAAAGTGCTTTAAAATGTACTCTAGTAGAATTTCAAAAACTACTGATAAATTAAACACCGAAATCCAAAGATAATTTCAATTATAAAGCTAGACTATAAAGCTGTTTAAAAGCAAAGTAGAGTGACTGTGACTTCAAATTTTCTCAATTAAAAAAAATACGAATACTATTCTAACCTTAATGAGGTTATATTTTAAAAATGATTATGGTATATGTGTGTACTGGATTATTTTTCAGAAACTATTGTGTAAAAAAGCATCCATGTCCAAGTCTGCAATAATTGGTCAACTATTGGTGCAAATATTGTTGAAATGGAAGAGTAGCCAATGCAATGGAAGTGACTTTTAATAAATAATAAACAGAACATACCACAGTGTCAATTTCTGCAGGATTTATAATCCTTGTAAGTTCTCCAAAGTCTTCTGGAGATAAAGGCAACATAGTTTCTGTTGACTGAAGTCTAGAAGGAGGACTTAAAGATAAGAAAAGTTTATAACTACCATTAATGTTCACTCTGAAAACAAATATTTAAAAGAACACAAAGTACAACTTAAACTGAACCAATTCATTTTAAAGAAATGTAATTCTTCTGCTCATGCTGTATGTACAACGTGATGCTATTTCCAGGTTGTAAAGCTCAATTACTTGTTTAAATCATCAAACAGTACTGATTGAGAACCTTGCGCATTTCTTGAGTTTGTTCAGTTTGGGATAATACGTATTTAGAAATGTTCATTCTTTTTTCCCAAAGATAATGGAATTAAAAGTTCTTCTCTATTTTAGCAGGTAAAAAATAAGACGCTATCACATAAAACCTGTCACAATACTCTTGTGTGTACATTGTCTTGTGTGGGGTAGTATGTGCATCTTTTTACATGGTGTAGGAATTTCCAGATGTGGTTATGTTTTGGAAATAGGTTCCTAAAACAAGGTGTTCCTGGTAAATCATGTGGTTATGGTATAAATAACACAATAACCTTGTCAGAAAATACAAATATTCCAATCACCAGCTCCCCCCTTTTTTTACCTTCTCCTTGACAGTTCAAAGGTTAAACAATATATTGACAAAACCAAACATATTTGCAAAGTAATTTACTTTATGTACCCAAGCACCATATCATAATGGACACAGTCAATAGGAAGCCAATAGATGGCACCATATACTATACATTCCTTACATTATTAGCGTTTAGGAGCCAAATGAAGCAGCATTCAGGTGTGAGTTGATGACATCATTCACCACTTACCATGACGTCAATGATATGAGTAAACCCTACTTTTCAAGTTTAAAAAGGGTTTAAATCTTGTTAATATTTTTTAGATTCAATCTTAAGATTTCAAACACTATTTAAAATTAGAAAAGGAAAATCAGTGCAGGACTACTTTAAACACAGAACAAGGAGGTATCAGATGCTGTTCAACAAAAGAAAACACCAAAAATTGAATGGAATGCACAGGACAAGCACATAAGAACCTTAACCGGGAAACTGTCTTAACTTTTAAATTATTTTACCATAAAGCACTGCTTTGAAAACACTTGCAGGGTTTAACACTGTGTTCCAGGTGGATGTATGTAGATTTAAAAATTATTTTAAGAAAATGACAGTGTATTTAATAGCTGTAACACATACTTATAAATAAGTGCCAAATGCATAAAATGGCAAGCCTAAGATTAACTTTTGTCACACAAATGTATTTTTAAAATCATATGATGATTTGGAAGCTGTATCCAGAGATGATCCAAGTGATAAAGTTTACATAGCATGTATGTTCCAGCAAAATCCAAATTAAATTATGAATGACTAACTCATTCATGAAAGCATAGATGTAAAGACAACAGAACCTCTGAAGCAGGAATGAGCTACACTGTACATATTTCTCAAATTCTAAGAATTAAGCTTTAAAGTGGTATGACTATAGGCCATACAAAGTGATTTAGAATTTTGAAACTGGTGAAATATTGTTTTATATATACTGAATGAATTTTTCCATGTGTTTCAGGACAGTAAAAAAGCAGTCATAGAAAAAATGATAAATTATTTCCCAATAAACACTTAGATATTAAAGTGTTTGACCCTCTTCTGCAAGGCTAAACTTGACAGTCTAGTTGTATAAAGCTCAATGCAGTTAACTTAAGATTATAAGTACACATATCATGTAATTAAATATTTAGTGTTTATAGACAAGTTTACACAGTTTAAAGCACAGATAATCATGAAAAACCTGGTTTTTAAGCAGGTATACTCAAACGTTTGACTGGTACTGTAAAACAACTCTTTAATTAATTTTCTGACTGCTTCTTCCAATTCAGGGTTGGGGAGACAGGAGTGTATCCTGGCAAGCAACAGCCACAAGACAGGGTACTACCACAGAGCAGACAGGCAGACCACCAGGGAAAATTTTTCCATAGGCCAATTAACCTAACAGAATATTTTGGGACTGGGAGGAAACTATGGGAGAACATACAAACTCCACACAGATAGCTTCCTAGGTCAGGAATTGAATCCAGCCCTGCAAGATGACAATGCTAACCAATGTACCACAATGCCACTCCAGATATAGTTTTTTAATTTAAATTACCTTACTTATATTTAATCTACCCTTAGTTTGTTTTAACTTCTTAAAAATAAAAATAAAAGTTAAAAAAATCAACTGCTTCTGACCAGTAATTGATGAAGGCTTATTAAATTACAAAAATGAATCTTATACTTACACTTCCGATACTGAAATTAACTCTGTTTTGATGTAACCATGTGGTGCAGGATTTTCAACATCCATTGGTTCAGATGCTAAAAAAGAAAGTAAAATTGTCAAAATGCATCATTGGATTACAGGTCACAGGTAAGCTCAAGAAGCAGGTACACCAAATTCTAAACACACATAACAATGAAAGACTACAGAAGCTGAAAAGGCTGTAGATCTCTCAATCTATCATGCACTACTTTGTAAAACTGCCAGGTGGAGAAGTGAATGCTTAACGTGGCATGTGGAAGCATTTGGGTTGTTGCCAGAAAATGCCTGGGTCCAAATCCTAGTCAATGCTAAGGGACAATCTTTTCCCAATTCTAGAATTTAAGTTGTATACTGTTGAGACTTGTATTAATTTTAAACCGTGTATTACAATATTAATACTGTTTCAATATTAATACAATTAAATTAATACTGTTTTTATTTACATAAAGAGGATTACTCAGTTTTATATATTAAAACCTTATTATACTGTGGCTTGTTGTGAACACAATGTGCTTCTTTCAAGTTTGCTTCCGCATTTGAATGACCTGTGTATGCTACGTTTCGGTATACTGTATCTGTGTGTATAACTTTATGTGATTCGCATGTGTAGCACGTCGGGAACCCCTTTGGGAACTGGACCCCTTTGAATTTTTTACACCTTTATCACCTTTGACTTTCCAGGGGGATGAAGTCCCCAGTACCCCACTATGAGAACATGAATGTGAATTGAACATTAAAATACTGTGATAAAATTAATTCCCTGATACAGACATCTAAATACATACTATATATCTATCTCATTAAATCGTTAATGATGCTCAGAAACTTATTGGTAGCAAATTCTACAAAAATTAAGAACCTTCATAATTTGGAAGCGAAATGATTGTTACAAAAGAAAGTGAAATGTGACAATTTGTTACAGTTATGATCAGGATCATTGATGAGCTACTGGGGAAATGATTCTAAATTTTAGAAATTTTCAGTTATGCGAGTACGCTACTTTGTAAAACCACCAGGTGGAGCTGTGAAAGCTGATCGTGGTGTGTGGTGCATTTGGCTGTCACCAGAAAACGCCCGGTTTCGAATACCGCTCAATGCTGAGGAACAATCTTTTTCCAATTATAGAATTTAAATTGTACACTGTTTAGACTTTTATTAATTTAAACTATAATAAATTTTATTTATTATACTGGAGCTTGTGAACGTGATGCGCCTCTTTCACGTTTACATCCACACAGAGAAAATCCAATAGTAAATAACAGTGCTATAATGTAATACACACCTACTGCACACCCAGTAGATAGTAGTGATAGCTAAATATAAAACATACACAACAGTATTCCACCCTCTTCATAAATATTTTATGCATCAAAGTCTTTAACATGGTGAGTTACGGTGCATTATGGGTTTAATGTGCTTGTTCAGGCATTATACAGTTTATATACTGCACTTCATAAAAAGTTACTGTATAACGTTTTATCCTTTTCTAAGAATACGTAGTAAGAGCACCACTTGCTCTTACTGTAAAAAAAAGTACTTATTTAATACCACTTGATGATAAAATTAGTATGGAATCGTGTAACTAAGCAGCTAAAGTATCACAAGTGGTTGTTCTGGAAACATTTTGACAATTTTTTTTTTCAAAAACTTTTATTGTCCTTATAGTGGCACTGGACAATGGAACGCTCATGGACTGTAAAGTAGAGCGATCCACCCAGGCAGTTCAAAGCCCGATCAAGAGCATTACTTTTGGTTTGTTTCTTACATAGCCGAATATTCTAGCTTATTGTGAATGCGATGTGCCTCTTTCACTGACATCTATATTTTATTTTAATATTAATTTCAGCAACGAGTAATTTAACTTTAAATTTGGATTAAAAAATATTTCACACATACTGTATTGTTGTAGTGGCATTGAAACCATATGATCTTATACTGTATATATATACAGTAGTTTACATCACTTTCATAGGCATGTGCGCTACTGTCAGTATATCTGTGTATCTGACCTGTGATTGGCATGTGTGGAACAGCGGGAGGCGAGACTGGTGGGGGGTGGGGTGGGGTGTCGTTATAAAAATAAACCTTTGTTGAGTTTGCATGAGAGACAAAAGGTACCTTTTGAGAAGTCGTGTACTGCTTGCAAAGCAACTGATTTTTAGAAAGAGCTCATTTTGTTTGAAGAATTGATCCTTTGTTTTTTCTGTAGCTTTATTTTTAATTTAATTGAGCAGAAAGTCACTTTGCTCTCGTTGTTTTTATTATAATAGGAGTGTGAAAATTGAGTGACCACCAGGGCGCAGTGAGATTACGGAGATGGATAATTTTTTAGCAAAATATGTCAATACAGTGCCTTGCGAAAGTATTCGGCCCCCTTGAACTTTTCAACCTTTTGCCACATTTCAGGCTTCAAACATAAAGATATAATTTTTTTATTTT